TAGTCAATCACTTCTCCCTATGAGGAAGCACAAATACAGGTACTAGTTACAGACCATAAGCCATGTGAAGGTGAATTCCACAATTGAAAACTCTCACATAAACAATCATATAAACCAATAACATTTTACAGCTGTCTACCGAACACAAGTTCTGTTATCTCTCTAGAGGAGATCGAGATCAGGAAAAACAGGAAAGTTAATTACGCTGTAATTTAGAATTGCATCACCTGCAAAAATATGGTGTAACCAGGGCTGCTACTTCTCTGAACCTATCCCTGATGTTTGCCTCTCCTATTTTACAGTTGCACATTAAACTCCATCCTGAAATGTAGTAGCTTATTGTTGCCAATAATATACTGCAGAAGCGTGGCTTTTGACCTAGCCACAGTGTTTATGTTCCTAAGAGCAGATTCAACCTTGCTGCAATGCCATTAATACATGTTTAATTATTGTTTTATAATCAGTTGGATCTGTGGTTTCAATCATACTTAAATGTAATTGAAGTTCAGAAAAGGTCTATGCAACACCTGCTGTGACACACTGGACCAGCTGATTCCTCACAGGACACTGATTATCTCTCAAACTGAAACTGCATCAGTCTTGAGGAATGTGGCTTATCACACACCACGGCTTTCACTAATTACCATCTCTCCTAAATCACAGCTGTGCATCATGTAACCTTGGTGGGATGGCGTACTTGCAGAATCTGTTTCTTCTACATGGCTCATTACGCTGAGAGCCGTGATGCCTGCTCCAACAGGAGTCCCTGCTCCACACCGGGGCCCTGGCAGCTATTTCTTAAATGGATTAATGGGACTGTCATGGTCCTTTCTCACTACTGATCAATGCTGTCCCTGAGTCACCACAGCGCTGCTTCCAGGCCAGGCGAACATGGTTCATCCAAAGCTCATCCAGGTTCCATATACCATCCATTTTCTCTGTGAAGCTGACCTGTCAGATATTCAATATCACTGCTTCACACCAGCAATAACACTGATTCAGGTGGCACAAAGTTATATTTAAAAAGAGGGGGTGATGGATGGCTGAAGTAAAAAGATTAAAGTTGTAGCTTTAATTTAATTTGGATTTACTGACTTGTACAACAAACCTGCCTGGCTTTGCAAAGATGCTGATCATAGATGCTCCACAGATTAATTCAGCTGTTTCATTCATTTACAAACCGGTCAGACAGCAATACATTTTTTGAGTCCACATCACCAACACAAGGAAAAACTTGTAGTGATTACTCAGACTTCTTGATGGTCATGATGCAGCAGGAGTACAAGTGAGTACAAGTCTGTTTGTTTTTTCAGAGACAAAAAAAGTCAGAGACACAGTTAGAGGAAGTAGTTAGAAAGAAAATGGTTATTTAAATTAACAATAAGTAAATACCTTGTTTGTTTTTTCTTCCTTTGACGGCTCTGGTAGTGTGTAGCGGTTGTAAGTGTGGGATTTCTGGGCAGCGCTGCTTCCCTCACGCCGGCAGAGAAGACCAGAGGTACCGGAGCTCTTCCTGGGAGTTTTGTCTCCATCGCCCATCTGCCGATAGGCTTGGCTGATGTTTCCTGGCTTCTGATTGGTTCACTCCGCACCATGTTCTATTGCTACCTTCAGGGACACTGGGAAAATTTGGGACCCCGCGGTGTGAAGCACAGTCCGACAATGGATAAGTCTTCATATATGTATATTTAAGCTTACTGTACATTTTTTATTTTTCATATAAAAACCAGGTTTAAGCATTAATATTCTTAAAAGATGCCTGAATGTGTGGATAATATCGTCATTACGTGAATCAAATCCAGTATAGTTAATGTTTGCTTATGGCTTCAAAATTAATTAATATCCTGCGTTGTGAACGTTTTCTCGACTTCATTTTGCCACTGAAACATACATTAGTTTTGCAGTGGTCAAATGTAACCATAGTAATAGAATTCCTATAGATGTAAATAAGTACATTACTCAAGTACTTTTTTCCATTTCATGCTACTTTATACTTTGACTCCACTCAGGGGCGCAGCACCAAATTCTGGTCCCTATACATAAGTAGTCTCTGTGGGCCCCCTGTCCTTCCTGTCCTCCTTTGATCCATGTCTCTTTGACACATCTTTTGAATTTTTTTACAAAGTGAGTTTGCTTTCTCTCCCTTTCCTTCTATTCTTTATTTTCTTTATTGGAGCCCTGATTTCCCTTTTTTGGGAAAGACATGACGGTATATGCTGGTGCACCAGCAGAATAGGCAGTCACTCACTTGGCTCTAGCTGTGTTTAGAAACGAATCCCACTGCAGAGTGAACTAAACCATTTTGTGCCTTTACGGGGTGAGAGGGACCTCATAAGCCCCGTTTCCACCAAAAACTTTAGAACCAAAAGTAACCCCTGTAGACATGTATCTGTACCCTAGATCTGTTTAGCGTTTCCTCAGCAGACGGTACTCTTCTCTTCACCAGTAAAACACAGAAAGGTCTGCACCTCATTTATCACCTACATAACAGGGTTGCACACTGACATTTTTAGAGCAAAAAAGAACAGGCTGCAGTGAGAGCCTCTCTCGACAGGATTTTTAAAAAATAGTCCCTGTCAGGCAAGAGCAGAGTTGTAGTGCTGCCAGAGCGCACTGGAACGACACTTTGACGTGTTTTCCTCCAAGCGAGGGTTAGAATATATGCCAGTTGAAACTTCATAAACATTTTCAAACACTGAAAGATCAAATCATCACTAAAGTGTATGTCAACCAAGAAAAACAAATGGAATAGTCAAAGTTGTCATACTGACTTTTTGATTTGTGTTGATTCCATGTTCCAGGTTGCTAATAGCAGCCAGCAGTCGGCACAGTAAATCAAGTTTATGCAGCAAAACATCCTTTCATTTTATGGTTATAGTTTTCTAATGTGTGTAAAACTTGCCACAGTATGAACAGTGGTGACATAACCTTCAAAACCAGCCACAACTCAGTCCTGAGCAGAGTGACAGTTCTCTATTGACCAATCTACAGATTGCAGTATTTCAAGCTCCACCTTTTAGTGTCAGATCACTGTCTTAGGTACCCTGACAGAGGTGTGATGAAAAATGATGACAGTTCTATTGGTGCCATCCACAACTTTTTGCAATGGAAACAAAAAAACAAGTTCAACAAGTTTTAAAGTTTTTTTCAATACAAAGATCAGACTGTTGATCGCTTTACTTAGCCGATTGTCACTTAGAAATAAAAAATTGGAAACAAAACAAAATTTTTCATTCCTGGCTTTTCAAGCCCTGACTCCACTGAGGCCCTGGGTAATCAGTCCCATGTTTTCCCCTGCTACGACGCCCCTGACTCCACCACATTTATTAGAAAGATTATTGGCTTAAATCAAGTCAAGATATTCCGGGGAGTACCTGAAGGCATCATTAGTTTCTTCACAAAGCTCACACACATACACCATTCAGGGCTGGTGTTGATTGGTTGCCATTGTTCTTTATCTACACGGCAACCAATGAGGAAGTCACTTCATGTTGCACATAACCTGCACATCAAGTCTTGCATGGATCATCCTGCACTGTGAGGTGAGCAGTGTGAAAGTAGAGCGCCAGTTCATGGTCTTTAACCCTTTAACCTGTCCTTGACCTGAATCAATACCAGTTATTTTTAGCTTCAACAACTATGTGGAGGGTGAATGCACTTGTTGCCTCTTTTATTCCTTTAATTTGGAAGACTGTCTCACATTTCAGTTAAATAGCATATATATATTCTGTATAAACAGTCTGTATGATCAAGAACATGTTTTAATTGCATTTTTTTAAAAAATGATTTTACAGCGCTGTAAACTAAGTACATTTACTCAAGTACTATAGGCCATTAAGTACAGTTTTAAGACTTGTACTTTACTTTAGTATTTTCATTTTTTGCTACTTTATATTACTCCAGCACAAGGAAATACTTTTACTCTGCTACATTTATTTGAAACCTGAATTGTTGGATTCAGATTCATAATCCAAAATATGACCAACAAATAAATAATTATGTATTATTATGGATAAAGACATGACTTATTGATGCATTGAGGAAATTCACAAGCTACCTAGCAGCATAATAAAAATAAATTATAATTATTATCCCAACCTTTACCAGCTGCAACATTAAATTATTGTAGGCTACACATTAATGCCTCAATAATAATAATAAAACAACTCAAACATTATTCTGCAATATTAATACTTTTACTTTATGTATTTTAAGTATATTGCTACTAATACTTTTGTCAAATTATGAATGCAGAGTATTTATACACTGTGGTATTGCTATTTTTACTTTAGTAAAACACCTGACTACTTCTTCCACTTTTCTAATTAAAAAAGTGCAAATTTTTGTCTTTACAGACCGCAAAACCAGTTTTTGTTGTGTACTGTATGGCAACTGTCACCCTGATATCAGAATTATATTAGTTATTATGTAAAGCACAACTGCATTTTAGAGTATGTTGGAATCTGAATGAATGCAATAGGCTTAAGAAAAAAAAAAGTAGAGGTATGGTGCACCTTTGAGGTAGCTGATGTGTTGGACAGAGTGCAGATATTACAGATGAGTCCTTGCTTCGTCACAGGCTGCGCTCGGATGGTTATCACTTTTTGGCAGCTATACTGTCTATGATAAATCTTTTTATAATTTTTACTGTGCCAGATTCTTAAGCAAGGGCAAAGTGAAGGGACATCAGACAAAATGGTGCAATTCAGTCTGCGGTACAACATGTGAAAGTACAGTATTTGAATAGTCCCGAGCAAGTTACCCTGTTGAAGCCAATTCTGACACAATGAACTGGAGGTTAATAAAGGTTAAATGCATAAAACATTTTTACCACAGGCAGATTTCCAAACACTGCACAAGAGACTAGTGCCCTCTGCTGTTTTATATGGTTAACTGCGTGCTTTGTGAAATTGATTACATGCAGATAAAGTGTCGCCGTTATCAGGCTACTTCCTCATCACCAAACTGCATTAGCAGCACTGAACAGACAGCACACTGCATTACTGGAGCAAAGCATGTTCTTTTTTATTAAGTGTACAAAACAAGTGCAAAAATAGTGATTCATAAGAGCTACACAAAGTAGGAATTGCCCTTCAAAAAATTACAGTCACAGAGGATACAAATCGAAATGCAATACATGAAGTGCTGTTCAAAGAGAATAAAAGGGATCAATGGTGCAGTCTTGCGCAGTAGAAAAAGATTGCAAAACATGAACTTGGATTCACAGCATTTGATAAGTACTAAGTGCAAGCTGCTGAAACAATATGTCAAATTCATCAGCGTTCTCCCTTTCAAACAACGCACGCACAGTGCAAAGATTTTACAAGGAAGGACCTCTATAAATGACAGTCATTCTAATACACTTAATCAAATAGATAACTTTGGCCCATATGCTATTGTAACAATTACTTCCTAGGCAGCGCACAAACACAATCTTTTTCACTTACGACTAAGCCAAAGGAAACGCCAGACAAATTCTGATGAAGCGGCAGAGGAACTTTTAGCAGGGCAGAAATGTGTTGCTATGCTGATACTGTTACCTGGGAGGCATGCAAATAAAGTACCTAATTTTTTCACATTTGAATACTGAGAGACACGGACATGTATAGAAGAGGAAATCTAAGTCTTAGATAACTGTGGTGCTGTGGGAGGAGGCTATACTATCTTAGTCTAAAACTGCAGCTAACACCTCAGCAAACTCAGTTACTGCAGCCCTGGCGCTGATATGTGAAACAAGATACTGAACAATGTTGACAACAAGCCTAACTGGATTGAAGGCATCTTGGGTTGTGGTGCAAATCAACAGTAAAAAGGCACACAGCTTGTGGATTTAGGGTGGCTGTTACTGAAACCCTAAACACTGCACAAACACACAAACCTTGCACAGAGTAAGCCTATGTTTAATTCACCAGTCATCCCGGCCACACGTTTGCCATTTACAGTATGGTGCACTTCTGCTTCTTTTTCTTCTCGGGCTCTTTTTTGGCCGGCTCAGGCACCTTGCGCCCGTAGTAGCTGGAGAAGCACGCTGGGGCGCAGATGGGCTCTCTGAGACTGAGCAGCCACCTTCCCTCGCCGTAATAGGTCAGCGAGCCCAGCTCCATTTCCTCGATGGGCTCCCCCTGCTGGCCCTCCTGCTGCAGGGCCAGGATCTCGAGCAGATCCAGTCCTGTTTGAACTGGCTCTACGCCCTCAGCACATCCTAGAGTAACGTGGGCGCGGCTTCCCGGAGGCAGGGAGGGAGACTCTCCCTGCTTTTCTGCATCAGCTGGCCACAGCTGAAGCTGCTCCTCCGTGAGGGACACTCTGGCACCAACGGTGCGAGGGGTCACAAAGAGAGCACTCAGTGACAGCTCGAACACAGAACCGTACATATCTTGAACAGCCTGAGGAGCAGAAAAAAGCAAATAAAGATAAGATCAATTTCAATACAATACAATACAATATTACACTGCAGGGGTGTAACTCTTTGAAAGTCAAAATAACAAAATAACAAGTAGTGAATTAACATCTCTAAAACTGTGGTTGTACCGAATAATTCAAAGCTTCATTCAAAACGTTGACATCCAAAATGTAAATCTACATTTAAATGCTGCAGAGCTTTTTTTGCACATCTTTTCATTCCACTGAAACCCAGTATTATTGCCCAGTGGCAGATAAAGATCAGGCTAATATAATATCATTATACTATTTGTAAAATAAGATTCCAGTGGTGGCTGGGCAGGATTGTTTCTGACTCACGATCCAAACATCCAGAGCACTGTCAAGTCCAAAATTCAAAATGTATTAAAAAAAATCATGTAGTGAATTTCGGAAGTAATTACATCTAACAAAATATTCTGCTTCAATCCATATTTGCTGGCATTTAGTCTTTCAAAACAACTTTTGCTGTGGTCAAAAAAACTGCTCTTCCACTTGCTGCACACAAAGGCAGGCACGCACCTCTAACAAGGTGGTCTAACAGCAATCTAACAGCACCATAAATTATATTTATTCCCAAAAGAAAGTTGGTTTAATACAGAAAAGCTACTTCATTTAATCAGATTAATCACTTTATTCAAAATGAGGATTTTATTCAAGGACTTTTAATTTTTCTTTAGTGCAATGACGTCATAAAAATGACAACAGACATTTGAAGCTTCATTAGAAAACCAATAGAAGCTTCGAATGTAGAGCAATGACATTCAGTACAGCCCTACCTACAATATGTAGCTGTCAGATTTTTATACATGATCAAAGAGAGAACTCCGTGACAGCTCGAATACAGAACAATAGAAATCTTTATCAGCCGAGCAGAAAGAAGGAAATAAAGATAAGACGATAAGATCAGTATAATTAAACACGACACTGCTGGGATGTTACTATTTAAAATGTTTACTCAATGCATGATATAAAGTGAAAAATAATTAACATGCCTAAAAACACATGTAGCTATCAGATTAAAATTTGTCTAATCACTTAATGCAAAATACATTTATAAGCAGACAATGAAATGACGGGTTTCTTACTTGAGTCTGGGCATACTCTTTGGCACCCTCTACTTTTCCATAGTCGCAGAACTTTGTAGTGCAATGGAGGGTCCCTTTGGGTTGGAAGTACTGCTCCAAATCCACCTCCTTCTCAGCTTTCCCAGTGACTGTAAACACAAAGCAGGATCAGTTGCATCTCAGTCAATCCAAAGCTTTCAAATATTAATCTGCTTAAGGATTTGATGGTTCTCACCGGTGCGTTCACTTCTGTAAATGAAATAGATTTAAATGCACTCACAGTCAATCAGATGTTTCTTGAAGGCCTCCAAGGTGTCCAGCGTTTTCAGGAAGTCCATCGACGTGCACCTAACCTTGTCCTGGATGGAGGAGAGAAGAAACCAGCCAAAGTAAAGAGGAAGGGACATTTCCTCCAGTGGACCTTTCATGGCTTCCAGTTGGGCCACTTCCAGTCCGCGTCGGGTCTTCTTGGACAGCTGTGCTGGATCTTTGCTCCATTCTGTACGTGGCTCCAAAAAGATGGCAACAAGGTGGTGCTCCTCTGCAATCTCCCCCAGGCGGGCCAGCCGATCCTGGGTGTGGTTGGTGTCATCCACCAAAATCAGCAGAGAGGAGGCGGTTCCCGTGCTGCAGCAGGCCACCACAGCCTCATCCAGAGCCTTGTACCCATCTGCAGAGGATTCTGGATTCTCTGGCTTCACACCATGGTCATCAGCACACACGACAGAGCAGTGGTCTTTGTAGGCGTCCGCAATGGCACGTACCAGGAAGCTTTTTCCACTTCCCGGAAGGCCTCTGATGACAACAAGGGTACGAGAGGTTCGTAGGGCGTTTTTGGTCTGCTCTTGTTCCAGGAGGGTAAAGCCCAGAGAGCCAGGTGCAGGGACCGTATCCTCTTCTTTGGGAAGCTCTGTATCATTCTTCTCAGATTTAATTTCACTATCGGCTGCTGCTTCTGCTCCCTTCGGGGCATCAGATTTTTCTGGTTCAGCTGCCTTTTCTTCCTCTGCAGGTTTAACATTTACATTTTCAGCTGATGCTTCATCCTTTTCGATCACTGCTTCTGCTGGCTTTTCTGGGGAAACTGCCATCACCATCACGGTCTCTGCTGGCTTGACTGTATCTGTTGGTTTTTCCTCCTTCATCTCCTTTACAGGCTCAGCTGCAACATCTTTTTCTGCCACCCCCTCTTTGGTAACTTCAACTGCCCCAGTCTCCATTGTAGTCTGCAGTTCTGTCTTAGTTTCCACTTGTTCTGACACGGTCTTCTCTTGGCTGGGTGGTTGTGTATCTACTAGCGGCTGCAGCGCGGTTGGTTCAGGTAATGTTTGCTCTTGTAGTTCAGCTTGTGGAACTGATTCTCCCAGTTTCTCTGGCTCTGGTTCAGGGGCACTCTCGGCCAGAGGTGTTTGCACAGGCAAAGGCTCTGGGTCATTCTCTGGCACGGGCTGCTGTTCAGGCTTGGTGTTTTCTGGTTCTGTGTCTAAAGCTGCAACTGGGTCAGAGATCTTTTCAGATGACTCATCTGGTTCTGGTGGTGTCACCGCATCGGCCTCTGACTCCATTTGAGATTTTTCCCTGGGCACGCTGTCCTCAATCTCCCTTTCTGTTTTCTCCTCAGACAGCGTCACAGTTTCTGTCACAATCAACTCTTCTGTTTCTTTCAAGTTTATGACTCCTGTGTTGTGACCATTCACTGCCAGCTGCTCAGTCTCTTCATCAGCAGCTGGTGACTTCTCAGGCTCTGTGAATTCCTCTTGTGCCTCCAATTTTGACACAACCTCTTTTTCCATTTCAGTCTCCTCTTGCTGTGGAGTCTCTGACGCCTCGACAACCTCCACACTCTTGTCAGTGTCCATGTCTGGCTTCAAGTCTGACTTTACACACCACCATGTACCTTAAATACATAATTAAAAAGAAAGAGATGTGTCTTTTTAGATCAGTGATGACTGATTTTGTAAAACTTCTAAACAGATACAAGTTCCTGTGCTACAACATATTTCTTAATTTAGATGGAGGTGGTTACATTTCGGGCTTGGAGTGTCCCATTAACCATAATAATATTAATTTCAGGGCTCAATAATAATGACTGCCTGATCATCTGGGCAAGTACAGTACCATGTTGGGCTAGTAAATCTAGCACCTCAGTTGAGCACAAGAGGATTAAACATAGTTTTTTTTTCTGGAGCTGACAATGTGTGTAGCTAAGGAGTGAGCCATCTGGCCACTCTCATTTCTGTTGTGACTTACACGAGCAGTACCATTAGGGCAGTTGCAAGAAAATGGCGGTGGGTAAAGACAAAGTTTATGAGCTGAAGGGCAAGCAAGCATTTCAATTATCCTGGTAACAGGAGTTTAGCTGGGTGTCGTTAGAGGATGTGGGTGAAACTTCACCAGTGTATTGCGCAGGTTGCCTCAAGTTCGAGAGCAACTTTTGATAACCGCTAACAGATGAAACTATTTGTATAGGGGAAAGTAAAAATTGACTTAGGCAAGGACATTTATGACATTGGACCCTGAATTTTAATAAAATAGGCTAGTTCATTTAACAAGCTGTATTTAAAATATTCAGATGTGCAGGTAAACTGAATTAAAAGTGGAATCAATGGTTGATAATCTTAATTTTTAAACATGAAAATCTTGTGAATATGCACTTAAATGCTGTCACATCTGACAGCTTTTTTTGCAGACCAGATGCCCTTGTAAAGGCCGAAATCACAGTTTTATGACGACTGTGTTCATCGTGTCTCAAGCGGGAAATGACCCAATATCCCTGATTTAAGAAAGAGAGCGTGTTGTTTAATAAATGACCATTTACCAACTGATTTTGGATGTGCAAATCTGATGCAATCCAATACAATGACGCTGCAACAACCTTAAATGTTATAATGTCTACTTGTGTTCAGGGCTGTCCTACAGTAGGGGTGATGTCATCCTAATTTTAATTTCCATTTGTTATGAACACAAAGACAGTATGCGGATAATGCAGACACACAAGCATGACAACAAAATACTGCACTGAAACATTGCGCTGGTTTATTACCTACAGTCCCTGCCAGCACACAGACAAAGGGCAGTCAAAGAAAACGGGTCATCGCTGAAAAAAGTGTGATTACTTCACAGTACAGCGACCTCCACTGTGTGACAGGTTATTTTCAACGTCAGTGTCAGATTTGATAGCAAACGCCTGATTTTAACAGATATGTGAAACCACATCGTGTCATGGGACAGAAGGGGAAGCTCTCACAACTCAGCCTACTGTAGCAACAAAGGCAAACATTAAACAGTATTTGTTCAGAGAGGGGAATATCCAATAACCGAAACCAAAAGAGATGCAAATTTGGGAAAAATAAACACTTTCACTTGTATTGAACTTAATCTTAATCGATATAAGCAAGATACAGTAGCAGTAAATGGCGCAGTGAGAGAGAGGATGGTTCTTTTTGTTTAAGCTAAGTTTGGACTAAATACACTACACGTTCACTTCACAAAAAATATGAATTTTTAAAATAAGTGTCAAAGGCTACGTTCAAGTGAGCTCAAATGTTGTTTTAAATGGAGAAAATAGCCAGACTTTGAACATTACATTATATTAACTGCACAATGTGGTGAGGCGGGGAGTGGCGTGCACCAACGCTAGCACGCCAGACAAAAACAATTTAGCCTGGCACTCGGTAAATGTGGTTTAACATCACCAGCTACAGCGCCACGTCTAAGCAACTTTCATGTTTCCCTGCCCTTTGCAAATCACTGTATGTAAATGGAACAACTTGTTTTAGTCTGAACAAAAGAGAAAATACGACGAGTTGTAGCGAGCTGTGCGGAGGGCTTTTGTCTGCTAAAATGCCAGCTTACCAGTTAGACTGCAGTGGAGCTGTCGGTGGTGCCGCTGACCACGCGTTTCTCTCTGGATACAATGACAAGGCAAAGCTTGGCAAACACATGCACCCGCTTCACTCTTCAAGGAGGAAAACGGAAATTCCCGGGCACGCGCAACTGGGCGGGGCAACGGACACGCCCCTGAGGACCGGAAGGACGGCACTGGAGAAGCTTTTTACTAAAATAACAATAAATAATACATAAATAATTTGTATATTTGTTGTAATACGCACCTGCAAAACATCTCTAAGCTGTTTTGTACTTTTATTATTTTTTTATTTGTTTATTTTTGGCATTTTACAACATTATTTGTATTGTTTTTTGAAAAAGAACACAATGGAACATAAATATGAGCAAAGTTCACATAAGGATGGGATAACAGTAGGTCTAGGGTTACTTTAATTATTTTCATAGAAAAAATATCTACCACCTCTTCTTTTCTTCTCAGACTTTAACAGTATATAACTTTTCCTTTATTTCAAGTTTAAATGTGCACCAAACTACATCAGAATAAACACAATTCATAATCTCCTGCCTGGGTTTATATTTTTTTATTATTAAATTATAGAAGCTTGTATTGTTTTTATTGTATATACATTTGTTTGTGTATCCCTGGCCCTGTTTAGACCTGGTATTAACATGTGTATTAGCTGATCTGATCTCAAATCTCAACACTTTTCATCTGACCACTTGTGATCAGATTCTGTTACTGCCTCGCACACAGTTATTACATCCACACTTTTACTAACTGCTCTGTAACATCCTTGCTTCACATGCTACGGTTGTTTCAGTACAGCTTGAGATCTCGCTGTCAGCAGAAATCACCATCTTTTCATAGGGCAAAACGATGGATGATCACGCAACACTTTGTCCAACTCAACATAAAATGGATATGTTGCAGAGCCTTTGTGCACTGTCATCAAAACAACTGCCATGTCATGCATTGATGACATAGTTCTGGTCGGGAAGCCTCAGGATGCATTAGTGTTTAGACTGTAAAAGATATGTGGTCAAGTGTGTCACAGACCACCTCTTGGTGGTCACTTACACTTATATTTAGTGCTCTCCACTTGTGATTGGATAACCCAAAATGAGTGCTTATACCAGTTCTAAACAGGGCCTGTGTGTATTGGTGTATGTCTGTCAAAACTTAAAAGATGGCAAAGGGAGGCTTTATCAATAAATATTTAAAAATCAAGTTTTTTCCCATTTTCCATTATGTTCCAATTTCAGTTCCTACTGCATGTCTATTTATTAATACTTAACACTTAATACTAATAATATTAGTCATACCTTGAGCTGGTGTAAACCACAATCACTTCATTTATAAAGCCACTCCCATCCCAAAAAGTACACCTCACAGAGCAAGACCGCAGACTACAGTGGTTTGTTTATACGCTTGGCAATGTGTTAGTGACATTTTCCTCAATACTGATGAAGCCTTCAGTTAAGGAGTGTGATCAAACCCTTGTGACTGAAAGATACAATACTGTGCTTTGTTTAACATCCAGTATCAAAATTTAAAACAAAGAGAGATACCATGAAAAAGCAGACAATGGCCATAAATTGTAATTCCTCTGTCTCTGACCTACATGCAAACAATACACTGATATTAAACCCTTCAGGAAGCAGTCATCTGTATGTAAGTCACACCTTGTGCGCCTGGTGACAGATGTAATATAGAGGCGTGAAAAGGGGAAGTTCCCTGCAGCATATATAACTCTTTATGGGGAACTTTTAAGTTATCAAAAGGCCTTCATGGTTTGGCAGGTTGCTGTGTGCGATAAGATTTCTCTTTATTTTGCATCTTAAGCAACACATCTTCTAGATAAGAGATGATCCAGTTGTTCATAGAATTCTGACAAAGTGCAGCCTTACAAATAGATTTGGACTGCAATTGAAAATGTTAGCAATACTAAAAATAATGTCATTTGTGCTTCAGAAGTCACTCTGTAAAACAGAGCAGGATGTAGGCCAGATAAAAGCTTTGAAACACTTCTCAGAATTCATATTTTTATTCCAGAGAACTGTACACCTTCACACAATGCACTGCTGTCTATGACACAGTGACATCACTTCTCCTGATTTGAATTTTACAGTATGAGATCATAAAAAACAACCCTATGATCCAGTGCCTGGTTGACATTTGTTTTTTATACTGGACTGTTTGTATTATGACCTTTTAGTAGTTACTACTCAAAACATGTCTTTGTGCGCCAAGACCTATAAACAGATACTGTGACTTATTTTTTATCAGCCAGTGTGTGCTCATAAAAAACATGTTTCTGAGGCTCTCATCAAAATGGATCCATGCATTGTAAGGGATCTTTGCATTCATAAAAAGTCAAATATCTCAGTTGCCCATTTGAGTGAGATGATTTTTATTGGTCTCTTTTTGTTCTATCAACTCTCATTTGATGATTGCTGTCTTCTGTTAGCACACACACACACACACACACACACACACACACACACACACACACACACACCACCACAAAACTTGACTCAGGACATCCTCACTGTGGGAGGTGTTGCTTTGCTTCATCTAGGGCCTGAAAGCAGAATGATAAACATCAGCAATTAGAAATGCCTTTAAATGGATCTGAAAAGATAGCAAAGGGAAGCATATGACATCGGAGAGGGAACCTTCTGAATGACACTGATGGCAGAGTCGTCCTCTTGCAATTTAGCCTGGGTCAGGGCTTTCTCAAAGTGGGGGATGCAGGATTCAAAGTTTCCAAGTTTCACTGAGATGAAACAGAAGGGAATTGACTCATCAGAGATCGGGGTTTAGTTTGTGTGATGACAACAGCACTGAAGCATTAAATAGTTTAAAATTTAAACATCAAGCAAATAAGCCGACATGTCACACCGTCTTATTTTGTAAATATTAGAAAGATAATAATTACATTCTGACTGTGCCACCAAGACGTTGGCATTTATCTGCCATTTCTCATCAGCAATTTCATCGGCCGCAGCAACTGAGCGGACCCCATAGTCTCGGGCTTCTTTGTAGAGATTCAGCTCCAGGTAACACCAACCAATCTCATGAAACAACCACGTCTTCTCCAAACCACCACGGACCAAGGGAATCTTCTTCTCCCAGCTCAGTTAAAAACATACTTAAAATTAAAATGCGTATAACCTATCACCAATATGCTAATCTTCCATAGTCATACCTCAATGCGAAACAATGCTTGTTAAGAGAGGTGTGACTATACAAGATTACCATCAAAATAACACGTTTTGCAAAGAATGGCAATGTAATATATTATACAAGAGCAGCTGTTACTCCGTTATTTACTTACAACTCGACAGCCTGTGTGAACTGTCCAGTTTGGGCATAAACACGTCCAATGTTATCCAGAGCCCTGGACATCGCATCTGGGAGTTTGCTGTTGATGCAGAAACATTACTAGACATTTGATGTATGCTGTTAAACACGTTCACTCCTGTTGTGTGATTCTGAAAATTCTTACTACTGTTTAGCCAACTCCAAGTCTTTTTGATGGTGCTCTAAAGCTTTGTCCATGTCTCCCAAGTCGATCAAGGCATTCCCAATACAGCTGTGCAGAGTGCCCAAAACCTCTTTCTTATTAGGCACCTCTTTCTCAGACCAGCGCTGCACTATCTTCATGACTTCCTCCGCCTTCTTTTGACTACCCTCCGCATTTCCAGAGGTCAACGCTATGATGAAAAAGACGCAGTAAGCATTTTTAGGCTACAAAGTAAAGCACCAATCAACAGGTTCAGCCAGAGGCCTGCCTTACCTGCATCAATTTCATTCAGGCTCCTCAGCAAAAATTGAGCAGGCTCAGAGAGTGCGCTTTGGCGGGTCTTGCCAGATTTTTGCTGCATGAGCTTTTGCTCCTTTTCCTGTGCACAGATAGGTTTCTCCTGGTTCCAGAACTCGGTGCAAGTGTCGAGGTATGTAAGGCAGCCCTGAATGACGTCCTGCAGTCGCTCTCCACCTTTTGTCTTACCTTTTACCAAATCTGCAGATTGTTGCATAACACTTTTAAATATTAGTCTATTAAAAGTGAAAAACATCACTGTAGATGTGTTTAAATGAACACACAGAACAGTAGGGACCAGAGGAGAAAGGTATAGGTATCATTTAAAGCTACAGTGTACTCAGCCAGCAATAAAAGATGCAGATAATGTAGTACCTTTATCCTTGAGCAGGCTTTCTAGATATTTCTTGTCACTGTAAAACTCTCCCAGCAGTTGTTTGGTGGTCTTCTCACTCTTAGGGGTCTTCTGGGTCTGCTGTTTCTTTTCTTTTGTCAGATGCTGAATAGCAGCGATTGGCTGGGCCCTCTTTACCCATCAGTCATTCACAAACACAATATTATACAACAGGAGGGAGGCAAGAGTTGAACTTGGCATACACAAAACTGCAAAATCTATTAGGAAGGTGATCCTTTGTTACCAGGAGTATGTTTGTATATGTATGATCATGTTTACAACAGCACTACATCCAGGTTTTTCTGATTAGTCCTGGGGTATTAACAGGGAACACAACAAAGACTAACCTCTTCATCTTTTTTTAGAAATGATAGGTCTCCCTTAATCTCCAGTTTTATAGAAGAAGGACCTGGAGGATACCAGAGAAGAATGCATGATTTTAGCTGTGCTGTGCTGCTTTTTCAAATGCTGTAACTAACAATTTAGTGTCAAAATACTTACTGCCAACAGAGTTTTCTATGGCCTCCTGTGCTTTCTGGATACCCAGTCTGAACTCCTGTATTTGTGGACGCAGCTTTTGTCCTCTGTGGTAAAACACCAGTGCAAATTCAAATTCTCCCATGTAGTACAATGCCTCTGCCTTCTGGTATAATCCCTGAAAAAAATCACAAAAACATTTCTTGGCTACACTTTTTATACATTGTCCCATATTTACATTAAATAGTGAATTGAGGGCTGTCATTTAGTATAAGGAAGATAACATTTTTTTTTGACTGTGACAGGCTTTAACATTACTGTAGCTCTCTGTTTACCTCAAAGAATGACTTGTCCTCTTTGAGTGAAGCCTCTGCATCTTTGAGAGCATTTTCAGATTGCCCCATCTTCAGGTAACATTTGGATCGGCCAACAAAACAGTTCTTGTCATCGGGCTTTAAAGTCAGCGCCTAAACACAAAGACCAAAAGCAATTCAAAGAGACAAGAACAGTTTCTTTCCATGAGCCCTCACTCTAATGAACAATTAAAATCAGTCATACACTCAAAACTCCATTTACCTCCATGATAGATTATACTTTTACCATTACAATGCAGTAATTATGATATTTATACTTAATAAAAATAAAAATTGTTATGCTACAACAGGCAACTATGTACCTCTGTCTGAAATAATCATTAGCAGTTGTTATTGTGATCATAACCTTAACAAATTATTGTTACTTGCAGTTCTAATATTGTGAACTGCAGTTCCGCGTGTGGTTTGTCCAGTTGGTGTTGCCATACTAGTTGGGTAGGTACAATAAATGTCAAACACTGTACTGTCCTTTTTTATTTCTTTCAAACGTATGAAAAAGTTGGAAACTATAAATGTAATATGAGTGTTACATAGGCTATATCACTGTCGATTGTTATAGGTTTTGTTAAGTGTTGGCATGTCTTCAAAAAAAGGTCATAAAAAGTCAGCATGTGCACTTTTTCTGTGCAGCCCTCAATTATATGCTGGCTCCCTAAAATGGCACTCAGTCATTAAACTTTGAGAACCTCTGATCTAAGTTTTTGTTTCAAATGATCAGTTAATCCATTGAGTTTCCAAAAAATTCCCCAGACCCGCCTAAAGGGTTGGGTCACAGAAAGTTTAGATTGAAAATGCAATGTTCTGCTTGGAAAACGCTGGTCCCAGCATTCAGGTAGATGCTTTTGATGCGCTCCACCCACCCAAACACCACTGTGGATTTCTACCAGCACTTCATGATGGCAGTGCCAACCCCCAGCAGGACAATGCACCAAACCACATTGCAAAAACTGTTCAGGAACGGCCTGAGGAATGTGACAAAGAGCTCAAGGCATTGACCTGACCTCCAATAGCCCTGATCCCAATCTAATGAAGCATCTATTGGACGTGCTGGTACCCCACCTCACAACCGAAAGGTCTCAAGGGGTCCACCGCCAACACCCTGGTGCCAGACACAACAGGACACCCCCTCAGAGGTCCTGTGTCCATGCCTCAATGTCAGAGCCAAGTCCAATCCAAGTAGACCCCACTGTGGAATCAGGGCACCTCTAGGGCACCGGCACGTCCCACAGATGCTCTGTCAGATTGGGGTCTGGGGAATGTGGAGGCCACATCGACAACCTTTAGCAGTTTTTGCTGTGTGACATGTTGCATGTTGAGTGGGTGGTGTGTGTCAAGTGGTATCCACATGAAAGCCAGGACCAAAGGTTTCCCTGCAGGACATTACATTGTAACAAGATGATCAATGTTATTCACTTCACCTTTCAGTGTTTTTCTGTTATCTCAGAGACACAAAAGATGCATAATGACGATAAAGACACTCAAAACCACCACACAACGTCTGTATGTCTTGTTTCTATGTAGGAGAGGTGGTGGGACCCTTTGCATATCTGTTCCCAGGGGCCCATGGACACACACCTATTCTTTCCACGTACACTTACATGTACATAATCCTGCCTCTTTATTTGTCCAGCTCTGCTTTGTTCCTAGCTGTTGTATTTATTACTGTGTAACATTAAGTACATTGAGAACAATACAAAAAATGGAGTTGAATTCCTTTTATGTGCACACATGCCCGTGAAACTGAGTCTTAATTGCATAGTTTGGATAAAGTAATGTAATTCCAAAATGTTCTGTAGTTAACGGATAACCTTCAGCTTGTTAGTAAGACGTGCAATGCCTTGCTAACCTTAACTAGCTAACGTTAACTACTTACCGCTGTGTAGCTGCTCACAGCCTTTTCATACTCTCCTTTAATGTACAGCCAGTACCCATCGGCCATTAAAGTGGAGAACACGCCCTTCGGCTTTTGGCCCTCGTGATTTTCGTCTGAGTCTGACATTTTAGGCAAACTTTTCCGTCATAACACTACCAAACAAGTTAACTTCAGCGTGTATCTACAAACATTAGCATCTCCAGTCTACTGGTATCCTAGCAACCACTGTAACAAACAGAGCGGGAAACACCGCCATCTTCTGGTCGCCTGGGTTAGTAACGTTACACCTCTCTATCTCAGTTTAATGAGAATGTTTTCATAAGGACCATATACATGTCGATTAAAACCCTAATAAATACAATAATACTGATATAATTATACTATTATACTTATTCTATACCATGAAGAAGACAACCAATTTCAGGGAAACCCAGAGGAGACCAACTTTATTGACATGGCTGGTACTTTTCAAGGATAAAGAGAGGATGGTTTCACCATAAGGGCATAAACAATGAAAGCAAAGATGAGGACGCTTTTCTTTTCTTCATAACGTGCACCAAGAGAACAACACTCATCAGGAAGTAACTGAACATGACCAGGTTTCCATCATCACCCCCGGACCTGACTTTCTTCGACAATAGCAAACACACAGCACATTGTATTTGTTGTATTTTTATGCGTATTGGTTGCATTGAGTAAAATTAGACAGCTTGCATCACAGTCAAGGAATACACAAGGCATAATCTATTTCTGCACATTGTTTCATGCAGACCAAACATAACAATTATCTTCCTGAATTAGTGTGAAAGGGATGCTCATAATCAGTGTCTCTCTCAGAGTTTTACTTAACAGAAAAGTGTCCTTATCTTACACTGATGGTTCTATCAGACAGCAAATTTACAATAAATATACATATCAAAATAAAAAAATGGAAAAAAACTATTATCACACATCAACACTTTACATTCCAGTAAAATGTACAATGCAGCAATCTGTGAATGGCAACATCAAACATAAAACCTGTGACAACAAGAGGGAAGGGGACCTTGCTGGCAACACAGCCAACACAGCTGTCTCCACTGCCATCTTTCTACTGTGCTTCAGCTCGACTGTAGGTGTACGTCTAGGCTCCAGCTGTGAATTTTAAAAAATGATCAAGTGCTCCTATTGGCTTATGACAAGGAGGCAGTTTTCAGTGCGAATTCGTAGCAGCCAACTGTCTGTCTGACAGATTCTTCAAAAGGGGAGGGTGTCGCTTGCTAAGTGATTTTCTTTTAAAATCATTAAGCAAGTTATTAACTTTCATGCAGAAAAATCCCCTCTCAGCAGTAAGTTGAGACGAGCCGGATAACAGCTTGCTCAATGCTCAGGTGCATCTCAAGAGTTTCCCCAGGATGTCACTTCCTGCATGGATCCCTAAAAGCTCTGTTACAATAGCTGCACAATCTCTGCAATCTCAAAAATCCAGGAAATATTTGGACCAGTGTTGCTAGCCATTACTGACTTTAAAGTTCTTTTCATTCTGAAAGGAAGAGAAACCAAATCCAAAACCAGTAACACACTATCAACTTAGTCTGTGCCACCTTAGTATCCTTGCTATACGGGCTTTAAAACATTTGTTGCATGTGGTCATTTGGGTTGCATTCATTCAGTCAATGGCATAGACAGGAATCTGACTTGCAATCAGTCAGTCATTAAATATGGATGGTGGGTCAGGGGGTTGACATTGTTGAAAAGTCCTGATGTAGTAACTGTTTAGGTAGACAAATCCTCCAATTAACCAAACTGGAAGAAGAAATTTCCTGGTCCAGAAGCTGTAACACAAAACAAACAAGTCAATAACTGATGTGTTCTTAAATTGTGAACATCATTCCAAACGCTTGACAGTAGAAAAGCATCGTTTCTCACTGCTTTAAATGCAGCACATAAGTTACCTTCAAAGCTAAATCCCCCTGGGCCTCCAAAGAACGCCTTGAAAATGTTGTTGGCATCAAAATCTGGTGAAGACAAAATGCAAGACCCAAAATCAGCACAGAGAACTTTACAGCCAGTTTTGCACCATAAAAACAACAGCTGTTTTAGAATAAAAAGGTGGTTCATTAGCTCACACAGTACTTAAAGCCCTGTCTACATTAGGGGTGTAAATCACCAGCTTTATCACAATACAATATTATATCGATTTGTTTGGATGACGATACGATGTTTGCAGATATCACAAAGTCTGTCACGATAAGATTTTGATTTGATTCGATTCAGGAGCCTGCGATCGATATGACGTGATATCATATGCCCATCTAACACAATCATTTACATCAACTCACAAAAACAACTAGAATATGATTTCACCATTTTATTTCTGAGCTCTGTTTGTTGTTTGAGCGGAGGCACGCTTGCCCAGAAATGGCGACACAGAAGTGCTATATGAATTTCAAAATAAATGTGTATCTTTAAGATGACGATATGGATCTATGTTTTCATTTTGCATCGATATAATCGGATCGTTAATCAGTGAATCGATGTATCGATGTGGATCGATGTATCGTTACACCACTAGTCTACATATATACGCATATCTTTAAAAACAGATATTTTCCTCTGTTTTGGCCTCTCATCCACACGCAAACATACTGTAGGTCACTAAAATGAAGATTTTGAAAACAACTCAAAACTCTGTATCCAAGTTAGGGCTGTCAACGAATATTCTAAATTCGAATTTAAAAAAAAAAATGGACTTTCGAATGTGAAAATTGATATTCAATTGTGGAGGGAAAAAAAACACCACCGCAGCTGTCCTCCTTGCGAGTGGGCGTTGGCCTGGGCCGCTGCACTGAACGCATTGCAAAGGCCACACCGCCCGCGGAGGTGCTGCGAAGCGCACCGCACCGAAATTCTCGCACGAGCTGGAGCACTTATGTTCACATCAGACGCGTATTTCTCCATGCTGGTCGACAAGCGGTTCTGCTCCCAGCTGTTGTCTCCGTCACCCGGCTTGACACATTTGCGTGCAGCTCGCGCAGAAAATAGACCAGAGCCGGCCACGGAGCTGCGCGGCGCGGCGCGGCACAGCCAGTGTGGATGACACAATCGGTTAACATGGGTGGCGAAAGGAAGCTGGCTTTGCTTCTCAGCGCTTCGAGGCTCTTCGCAGCGCTTCCGCAAGCGGTGTGGGGGTGGGGGGGGGGGGGGGGGNGGTCCGCGTCATTTCTAACGTGATGTTATAGATAATTGTTTTATGTGTTTTAATGTGTAGGTATATAAATGTTTTCAAAGACGTTTATGTTGAAATAAAAATACCTACAAGTAGTTATGTTTCCTTGTATTGATACATATACAAGCATGTTTCCTTGTATTAGTTTGCCCTCTTGTGGACATAATGCAAAAAAAAAAAAAATAAAAATTGAATAGTTCGAACCTATGAGTTATTGTTAGAAGGAATAGGAATTTTGACAGCCCTAATCCAAGTGGACATGAAAAAGTGGGCATTTGGCAAACAATGACATCGTCTTGTCAACTGTCCATTGTTGGTTTGTGTAATGACTATGCACCAGAAACCATGACAACAGTAGTGGACTACCAGTTTGCTAACATCGTAGTCTTGCTGCACCACTTAAAGGAAAAATGGAGGTGTCTGCTGCACTGTCTGCACGCAATGTTATTTGTTCCAGCTCAGCGTCCACTACTGATGAGCAAGTCAGGGTTTTTTAAAATGTGTATCAACCCAGCCCGCTTTAGAGCCACTCCGTCCTGCCCAACCTCCAAATATTTGCGTTAATCAATGACCCAAACCTGACCTGCAAATCGGAGCTGAATGTTTCTGGTAATGACCTGCTTGCTGCTGGCTATATTTCCAGTAAATGTCAAAATATAAAATATGTGTTTTCTCTTTGATAAAGTACAAACAGCAGAAAGACAGCATGTACTTACCCATCTTTTAAGTGGTTACATATTAAGCCTATGATCTCGAGTGCATATCTGATATTCTACGTGGTTTGTTTACATGAGTGCACAGCTGATTGGCACAGTGGTGTGTTTACATGACCTTACAGAAGTGCATATTTAACAGTTTAAGTGTAGACACAGTGTTAGAGCTACATATTCTTCGAGGGAATCATTTTTACTGGACATTATGACCAGAGAGATTTAATTGTTGGACCTCAACAGATTTTCCTGGTCATAGAGGCCTTGAGCTCAGCAGCGCTGATGATAGATGCTTAGTGCTGAACCAGCAGATGGTGGGACAATTTCCAGAGTGGGATTGATTTGGATGAGCAGTGGAACTTTAAGAGCATCACTTGTATCTTTGAGTGAGTGCCTTAGTCCTTACATAGAAGGGGAATCCACAAAGATAAGATCTCCAGTGTGTGTTTTGGAAAAAGGTAATATTGGCCTGTGTACTTTACTACCTTTGCAACAATAGGAGACTAGAGAGGACTGTTTATGCTAGCTTTGAGTTCTTTATTGTGGTCAACTGAGGATGGCATTTATGAGGACAGAGGGGGAAAATATCTGTTTTAAAAAATCACTGTATACACGTGGACAGGACCTTAATCTGTTCACCTTTGAGGCCTCCCACCCCAGCCTCTCCCACGTACTAACCTCCCATGTTCATGCCGTCATCCTCCAGATCCTGACCGCTGTCATAGCGAGACTTCTTCTTTGGGTCTGAAAGCACGCTAAAAGCCTCGCCCACCTCCTTAAACTTCTTCTCCTCTTCCTTCTGCAACTCAGGACTAGCTCCGCTGTGACGGTCTGATAGGAAGGAGAGGTAGGGAAAAAGTCGTTGGGTTGAGGGACAACCATATACAGTGTTACTTAAAATCACTCTGCTTTATTGTTATGGAAACTGTCTGTTCTGTCAAGCACCTGGGTGATGTAAAAGCGCCCGTTTGCGGTAAGCTTTCTTGATCTCATCTTCTGTGGCATTCTTATCCACTCCAAGCACTTTGTAGTAATCTTTCCGCTTGCTTTTCTTCAACTCCAGCTGGGCATTTTTCAGAAGGTGCTTGTGTTCTACAGAATAAAAAAAAGAGACAGGACATTTTAACAAACAATAAACCGTAATAAAGAGGCAATCTCTCTGCTGAAAGCTTTCAGGCTGTACGACTCTTACCTTTTGTCTTCTCTGTCTGATAAACCTTCTCATAGTCTCGCACTGCCTCTTCATATTGCTCTGTGTCCATGTAGCTGCA